TCTTTTGTCCTGCAAAAAGAAACAAACAACAACAAAAAAACAATAATAAATGAAAATTACTGCAGTTCATTCAAAATGTAAATGATTTTCAAATATATTTGTACCAACATAGATTTCAAATGTACTGGTTCAAAGTATCTATACAATGTGCTAGGTATTTAGATATTTAGTTTCATCTGTAGCCAAATGCTCTCAAAACACTTTCATCTAACTTAAATTCCACGAACAAATAATGATTAGGAAACTCAGAAAACACACAAAAAATTCCTCTCACTGAAATAGCTAGACAATATGATGTCAAGATATTGAAATATTATCTATTCAAAGTATATATATATGTATAATAAACAATTCAGGGTCATGAATCTGCTTCAAATCCTGTTTCAGCCAGTTTTTACCAAACAGTCATTCTACCCACCAACCCTCAGCAACACCGCCAGATGTTTTAGATTATCTCTCAAGTCCATGAAACTGTTACTTAAAGCTGTTGTTGAATTTTGACAAGCTTTTCCTACCTTTTTTCTGCTGTGTACTGCTTATACAGAGGACAAAAACGAAGAAAACCAGGAGTAGTTTCCCCATATTTTTCTTCTTGTTGATCGGCTCCCAGCTTAAGAGTCACTAGCAAGCCTCTTCTTTGTTTGTTATCACTGCTTTTCCCTGTCACCCCAGTCTGCTTCTCTCGGTTAGCTCTGTGGGAGGAACTTGAAAGCCGACCCTTGCAAGAAAAAAAAAATCACACGTTCACCCAACCAGAATCAGAATACTTTATTGATCCCTGGGGGAAATTATTTAAAACAAAATATCTTTGCTTTCGTCTTGAATATGAAGGACAATGGTTTTCACTTCCCTACTCTGTCTTGTCTGAAAACTATTTTATTGTTGCTGTATCTTTGCCAAAACAAATACTGACCCACTTTTTACCTGATATCTCAGTACTTTACAATGTAGCTTGCCATCGCCAGTGTGTGAATGTGTGTGTGAATGGGTGAATGACTGAATGTAGTGTGAAGCGCTTTGGGGTCCTTAGGGACTAGAAAAGCGCTATACAAATGCAGGCCATTTACCATTTTTACCATTTACTCAGAACTTTCTGCACAGTTTTTCCCGTGTGTATTGTGTATCATTTTCACTGTCTTAAATAGAAATGTTCAAATATACATTTTCACACAGTTCTCCTGGTGCTGCATTCATTCCAGTTAAGTTATATGATGCCTAAGTTTGGAGCTATGAAGAGAGGTAACACACAGAAAAAGGAAAAACTGATGAGGCAAGGAAATGCCTGTGTGAAGACGATAAGCCTGCCTCAACACGAGCAGCTTTGTCTTCCCTTCCGTTTCTGCAGCTATTTGTGTACAGGTACGCTTACTAAAAACATCACTCATTTTGGTTCAGAAACCTTTCAGAAGGTTTCTGTTACTGAAGTTTAAGTTCTGTGTTTTTGACATGTTATTTACATTTCACTTTTACATTTACAGGAAACTTAATATGCTTGAAAGTGACCAGGGTTAAACAGATCAGGACACATGCTGGTGGAAGGATCGTTGGAGTATTTTCTCTGCTTTTATCAAAGAATATTTTATTATTGTAGACATCCAGCTGATCACAGATGTGACCCGGGCCTTGTTTTCAGCGTACATTTTTATCAGAGGGAAGAAGTAACATCAGTATCAGGGTCTGTTGTGCCCCAGCAATGACCTCAACTTCCTGTTGTGACGTCAAACTCCAAATGTCACAGATGACTCAAACCGAGACAACCAAATGTTCTCCACTGTAGTCAACTTAATGGAAACTTTAGAATGTTCTTTCCAACCTTGAGGAGGACTAACAGGTTATGTTTAATCTATGTTTCAGTGAAAGTCAGAGACCATCCTGCACTAATTACATTTCTTTTCATTTTTTTCCTCTTCTCCTGTCCGGCAGTATGTCAATCAGAATTGTTATCTGAAGGCCAAAAAAGACCCAACAGATTTACTTTCCCAAGTGGACCATTACAATATTTTGCATAATGTTCCACTTGATAGTCATAATTTATTAGAATTTTATTAGGATCTTTTATTTTGAATTATTATAGTTACAGCAGACAACACTAGGGGATGGGAAAAAAGAAGAAAGAGAAGTTGGGAAGGAATTTAACAGAAGGAGAGGGAGAGAAAAATAGAGGAGAAGAAGAGGGATAGAGACAGAAAGGGAGACAAGGGACAAAACCTATTCTGCTTCAACACCTACCACAGCAGAGAAATCACAGAAACAACCAACATATGCATAAATAATAGTAAAGAATAAATAATAACTGTTACTGAAAAGCACACAGTACTAATAACACAAAATATTTTTAGAAGCAGCAGCCGACCAACATAGTGTGTGTCTGTGACCCTCGATGTCTACATGCTGTTTTAAAATTGAGAAATGGGCACCAGCACCAGTGGTGATGCTGAATGAACAGACCCGCTTGTGGACACCATGCCCACCCCCAAGGACCAAAATGCATGTGTCATGAGTGTCTAAGTTATGGAATAAAATTGAGGCACAAGTGGCCATGAGGGGACAGAGGAGGAATACTTCCTCAAGTCATTACAAGTCATTTGCGACCAGTTAAATATCACCCATTTAGTCTACCACGAACAGTGGCAGAGGCAGAAATCACTTTTTTCATAGTCATACTAAGCATGATCCCCCTCCTTCTTTTCTTAAAAGTGGTGCGAGTGGTATGTCTAAAGTAACTGCATCTTTACCTGTGTCGTCCCATTGTGTTACTTTCTGTTTCTATTTTCTAATGACAAAAGGTTTAAGTTTAAAACTTCCAGAAAAGAACTAACAAAGAACTTATAAACTTCATGTATTCACGCCAAATCATAACAGCAGCCCCTTGAAGGCTCAAATAATGAAGAGAATGGTAAACATGAAGCTACACAATACATGCCCACCTTATTGTATTGGGCTGTTAAAAGGAATAATTTCAAAGACTAATAACTTGATTAACCAATTATTTAAAGTCCTTTAGATTTGTTATAAAAATGTAGTTGTGTATTAGTATGACTTGATTTTAAGTCACTTTGTTCACACAAACCCTCAGACTACTCATTTTTTAAGTAAAACGGATATGACAACATCAGAATGCGGATTTATATGATTTGTTTGTGGGCAAACAAATCATGGTAATATCTATAAAATGCCATTATAAATAAACTTAAATTTTAGACGTACTAAAGTATTGCAGTAGATTTAAAGAATACATTTGGTGAATGATAAATAAAAAAAATGTAGCCACCAGGGGGCATTGGTTACAATGCAGCTTACTGAAATTAAGT